CTGGTTTTATTTGCTTTAGATATAAAAAATTTGCTCTTTAACCCTAACGATTAACTGTTATTAAATCGTACGACTGTACAGCAAAAGAATCATTCATTTATTTTTTTTTATTAAATCTAGCAAACATTAAGAAGTCATTGCTTATTCATCAGCAGTTGTAGTCGGAAGTTTAACGAATAAAATAAATAACTGCTTATTATACGAGTAGGAAAAATGGTTTTATTAGATTACTTGACCTAGAAAAAACTTTATTTTTTGAAATTTTTATCAATTCTTTCTATTATTTTCAACTTTTGCTGTGCAGATATGCATTTAGTGGTTGATAATCTACTTGATTATCTAGCCTTGTTTAATAAAAGCCAAACATTGGAAAGTTTTTGAGACGACCATTTGAAGCAGGCATAGCGGATAAAGGGAAAAAGAAAAAAGCCATGTAAATTGCTCTGATTAAACGATACTTTTTCAGAAACATTCCATCTCATATTCCATTTTTCTTCTGCTGCTTTTTCAGTCAAGATTAATGATTTCTATTTGGATAAGGTCACTGAAAAACAATTTATCAAAGCACTTTCCTATTTGCAACTTAGCTTAACGTCGAATTAGAAGTATTTACTACATAAAGCTTTGGATCAATGAATCAAAAATCATATTTCAAAATAGCTCTTTTTGCCCCCAAAAGAGGCAATTTTTTTCCGAAAAAAAATTTCTGCTGAAGATAAACTTACTAAGAATATAGGCTTTAAAACCAGGCAGTTCTACTCTACGAACGCTATACATCCATAAGTAATTCGGATTAAAAAATTTAGATTTTTTTTCATAGCCGTTTATCTGCTATTGAATACTGTAACACGTCAAATTTCTGGAACTACTTTAAGGAAAGAAATGTTTTTAGAACTGGCGTCCTCAGTTGTTAGTATTGTTACCAAATGAAGAAAATGAACAACAGGAAGGTTTACTATCTTTTGTATCCCAGCTAAAAGCTGGTAAAGGTTTGACCATTATTGGCAAATGTATAAAAGGTAATTATCCGACGCAGAGCGAAACGGCTGAAACAACTCGACAGGTTTTTTTACAGTTTATATATTTATCAAAGTTATCCAGTTTTTCTTAAATCTTACTAACTTGTATGTGGTTTCAGCAGTTGAATTCATTACTGAAGAATTATAAAATCAAAGGCTTTTGTGATGTGCTGGTAGTCAGTGATATTCTCCAAGGAATTTCTTGCTTAGTTCAGGTATTATTGAAAGTCTTTTATTTCTTTTTAAAGCTTAAACATGTAATTAACATTTATTCAAAATTGTACACAAATCATCAGTCATTTGAAATGAGACAGAACAGCATTGTTCCTTCTTAGTTCTGAAGAATACTTATCATTGAAGGATGGCATTTGCAGACTTCTGGACTGGGAGGACTTCGGCACAATACAGTTGTTTTACCTTGGCCGCAACAGTGGCATTCGGTACGTGAAGTTCAAGTTTGTCAACAGTTTACCTATGCAATCAGGGCTGCCGATGCTGCTGACTGTGCAATTCTGGTACTAAAAGACGCTTCAGCATTTCCGCCATCAAGTACTAAGGTTAGGTTTTCTGTGGTTTTGCAAAAAAACAGTCAAATTCTTCTCTTTTCTGTTGCTTTTTTATGCAGGAAATGAAGCTGAGTAGGTTACATACAAAGGCTCTTTCGTGTACTGTAAGCTCAATCATATATTTTATACATACTTTATAGAGTAAGACCTTGTATATTACATTTTACACAACCACTGAAAACGACACCTTTTTTTCAGAACTGCTCAAACTTATCATAGTTGATAACACCACCCTTTTTAATAACAAGTAGTTTCCTTCTCCTTAGATAAAATGAATGATTAGGAAGCGCATCTACACTGCTGTAACTGAAAAGAATTTTGCTCTGCGCAACAGTTTTGATCAACCGCAGTTATTGTTCGCTTGAAGCACCTTATTTACAGGTACACGGGTACCTGGATGTTTGGTGGATCGTTCATGACGGAGGACTTTTGATGCTGATACCATTTTTGCTGAAACAGCATAAAACTTGGAAGCGTACACGTCTGCGTCTTTTTACGGTAGCCCAAGTCGAGGATAACAGCGTAAATATGAAAAAAGATTTAGAAACGTTTCTCCGATATCTTCGCATTGAATCACAAGTCTTCGTTGTTGAGCTGGTAAATATTTGATAACTGCTTGTTACTTATTGCATTTAGAGGATGTTAAGGGATTTCTAACCTTTATGTACATTGACAAATAATCCTATGAAAATTTGGCAGTTTAGCTTACCATGTTTTACTGTTTTTTATTTTGCTTGTTGATCTAATTTACAGTTAGTAAGATTTACAGCGGGATACCGACATATCTGACTACACGTATGTTCGTACGATGAAGATGGAAGAGCGGTGTAAATTACTGAAGGAACTACAGCTGAGCGAAAAGAAACATGATTTGCAGAATTCATTTGCTGAATCGGCTAAAGGAAGAAAGCTTTCTCGTGTCAGCGAAGAGGGCTCACTACGTGCTCGCGTAAAAATTCTGTGCTAAAATACCAAAAATTTGAAGCCAGACTTTTGTCAATGAATTGTAAAGGAAAAACCAAATTTTTTTTTGTTTTTAATTTTTATTATAATCGCTTTCAAATACTATTAACGTATACGGCACGGTGAAACGATCGTTCAATTTAAGATTTCAAAGTTTTCGGCACCAGAAGTAGGACCAATTCATATAAGAATTCAGTCACCACGTAATTCTGCACCAAATCTTGACGGCATCAAAGTGCATTTCAACGAAAAAAATTTACAGGTTTATCTTCCACATTTGTCAAATCAGTGACTTTGAAAAAAAGGTGTTTTTATTATTTTATCATTTAGTTGTCATTCGTCACAAAAAATAAGCCAACTTGTTTCTCTTTGCTGTTACATGTAA